TCATCCTTGTGGATTTACTGGTTCTTAAAATATTATCTTCATGATGTTTGGAAGGGAGAGAAAGCTGGTGGTTAGGTTCTGTCCTCCGTCTTTACCTAGAACCTTGAACTCTTGCTGCTTTCTCAGCCTTAGATTTATTTCTTCATGCATTTTTGTTTTTATTTTTCAGACGTATTTGGAGTTTTTGTTTCTCTTTTATTCTTCTTTCTTACAGGAGTTGCTTTCAGAACCCAGCAACTATGCTGTGAAGAACTAACAGTGAGGGGCAATGTGCCTGCCTTGTGAGTGAGCCATGCTGGACGTAGGTCCTCCAGCCCTAGCAGAACCACGCCAGCTGATGCCACCAGGCATCCCCACGGAACCCTGGCAGAATGCAGATTCATGAATAAAAAGAATAAAAACTCTTTCTGGGTAATGTTTTGAGCCACTTTGAGTTGATGTTATGCAGCAATAACTGACTGGGATGCTCCTTCCTGCCTAGAATTTCTGTGATTGCCTCTCTCTGACCCTCTGGGCCCTTGATCCAGGGGCAGGCTCTGTAACACTCTTTGCGTAGATTCAGGCAGTAGTTTGGCTCAGCTTCCAGAAACAGGCTGGGTCTATCTCCCTCCTTTCCCAAACCGGCATTTCTCCAAGGGCAGTGTAATCTCAGACGGCATTTGGCAGCAGCAGGGCCACCATCACACCCCAAGTTTTAAACACTGATGTTTGCCCCAGTCCTTTACTTAATGCATCACATTTTATTTACATTTTTTATTTGTAATTTTTATAGATACATACTAGTTGTGCCTATTTGTGGGGTACATGTAAAATTTTGATGCAGGCATACCGTGAGTGATAATCAGAGCAGGGTGACTAGGGTATCTATCACCCCAAGTCCCTAACACTTCTTTGTGTTAGGGACATTCCAATTCTATTCTTCTTGTTATTTTGAAATATTCTGTAAATTGATGTTAACTATAGCTGCCCTGTTGTGCTCCCCGACACTAGGTCTTGGTCCTTCTATGGAGTTGTATTCTTGCATCCATTAACCACCTCCTTTTTCGCCTCCCTCCCCCCTACACTTCCCAGCCTCTGGCAACCATCGCTCATCCCTCTCCCTCCTTGTTGGCCCCCACATATGAGGGAGACCTGCACCCTTTGCTGTTTCCTGTCTTACTTATTTTACTCTACAATGTACCACTTTTTAGTCTTTCTTATCCTGTGGTGCTGGAATTCCCATGACTGCCCCATGTTTGTAGAGTCAGGGAAAGGATTTGGGTGACAAGTTTCCTTTTTAACATATTTTTACCCAATCTACTTGACTTACAGTATCCCCTCCAGTGCACCCCCATTTTCCAGATTATGAATGCAGCCAATTCCTGAGTTTTTGAAAAATATGTCATGCAAATCACAGCGGCTCCTGGGTTTCCTCACTTTTGGTTTTATTTTTTAAGCCCAGTGGCTCTGGTCACCTCCCCTACTGTGTGTGTCAAGCCCAGGTGGATTGGGGGGATTAGATTCTTTAAATGGACTGTTAATCAACCTTCTTGATTTTAACTATTTCCTTTCTTTCACAACCATTTCCACATGCTACTTAGAAATTCTAAGGAGATGTTTACCTTGACTTTGAGCCCAGCTGTGAATTTTTTATTTTTTCTTCTTACTTTTTGTTTATATTGTTATGTGTTGGTCTTTTTTTTTTTTTTTTTTTGAGACAGAGTCTCACTATGTCGCCCTCAATAGAGTGTCGTGGCATCACAGTTCACAGCAACCTCAAACTCCTGGACCTAAGCAATTCTCTTGCCTCAGCCTCCCAAGTAGCTGGGACTACAGGCACCTGCCACAATGCCAGGCTATTTTTTTTGGCTGTTGCAATTGTCATTGTTGTTTTAGTAGGCCTGGGCTGGGTTCAAACGTCCCAGCCTTGGTGTATGTGGCTAGCACCCCACCCACTGAGCTATGGGTGGTGCCTAGCTGGCTATTTTTTTAGTTTAGCAGGCCCAGGCTGGGTTCGAACCCACCAGCCCTAGTACATGTGGCTGGTACCCTAACCACTGAGCATAGGTGCCCAGCCAGAGGGTCTTTTTTGAGCATGATCCAGCCATTCATGTTGACATGAAGTCCTGGGTTTGGAGTAATATCCTTACTTCATCTGGTGGCAATGTTCTCAGTCCTCTTCGTGGCCGCATCAATGGTCCCCTTCTTTCTTCTGCAGCGTCAGAGCAGAAATCAACCTACCTTCTGCCCAAGGCTCTGTATCCTGAGCCCATCACACACGCCTCTCTGGGGACAGTGCTTCCATTGTCACCCTCTTTCTCTCCATTGGCTCAGCCTTTCCATCTGGAGAAGAAAGTTTCCCTCAACTCCTCCTGCTTCCAAACCATGGTATCCTCTTTTTCCTTTCCTTCTCTATGGAATTTCTCAAATTACCTCATATGTGTCATATTTATGCATTCTTAACCCCATGTAACTGGTCTTGGACTGTCAACATTTATTCCAGTTATTACTGTTACAAGAAAATTATCCCAAAATAAAATATCTTAAAACAAAAATTGCTCCCAATTTTGTTGAGCAGGAATTTGGGAAGAGTGTGGCTTCAGAGTTCCTCCCTGGGGTGTCTCGTACAGTTGCAAGATGTCAGTCAGCGTGGAAGGCTCAACTGGGCTGGCATCTGAGATGGCCCACTCACGTGGCAGGCAGTGGATAGTGGCTGCTGTCCAAAAGCTCAGCTGCATCTGTCTACTCAAATGCTTCCCGTGACCTCTCCAGTATGGCAGGCTAGAGTAGTAATGGTAACTGGCTTCCCTGGCAGGATGTGTCCCCAGAGATCAGGCAGAAACTAACTGGCCCTTTCACCCCAGCACCAGAGCTGTGCGTCATCCTTTGCCCTGTGCTCTACTGGGTGAAGCAGTCATAAGCCTGCCTAGACTCATGGGGAGGAGACTGAGACCCCACTTCTAGATGAAAAGAGTTATCAAAGAATTTTGAGACTACGTTCTAAAACTGCCATAGTCCACCCTTTCATTACAAATTATTTACATTTCTCCTTCGGTAACATACTCCCTCCCTCCCTAGAATCCCTTAAAATCTCCTTGATAGCATCAGGGGCCATGCCAGGATCTTGTCACCTAAACCAGGTTCCCAAGCAAAAGAGCCTCTTTGAATGAGATCACTTGTATATAGTTTGGTGAACTGAATATGACATCTGTTTTCTACTCACCTAATCCACAGGCAGTCCCTGAGATACAAACACCTGACTGACATACAACTCAGACTTATGAATGGAAGCTATCACAGGCAATAGGGAAATGTACCTGTTCTTCCAACTTATATACAAATTCAACTTAAGAACAAACCTACAGAACCTATCTTGTTTGTAACCTGGGGAATGTAGTGTCGGGGGCAAGTGCTATAGACACGTCTATTCAAAAGCTGGGAAACGGGAGACACACTAGGGTATGTTCACTCTGGAATCCATCTAGGCACGTGTTTCTGGACCCTGCAGTAGGATTCATTTCTCGCCTCTGGGCTTTGGCTTTGTTCTTTGGGCTGTTGTTTCCCTGCCCTAAGATCCTTCCTTTTCCATAAAAAATGGCCATGGTTACAACTGAGTAGATAGTCTGCTTGCTGCCCATATGAAGTTGGAGGGAGGTGGCTAAAAAACTCTTTTCATTTTGTACTATTTTGTCCCTTTTTGTCAAAGCTGCAATTCCCTTTACAATGTTGTGAGATTCCTATGTGTCATATAATTCCACTGCATTAGACAAAAACTATGCCTATAAATCGCTTCAAGATTAATCATTCTGTACCTTGGGCTCTTTACAAGGCTCCAGTATGAGGTAATGACCATGAGATCCTTAGAAGCCCTATTATCCAACAGGGCCTGACAGTCAAGACCTTAAGAATCTTAAGGTTTTAAAAGATTTATTTTAACTACCCCCCCCCAAAAAAAAACTTCCCTAGGTTTCAACAAAGATGTTGGAGTCTCACATTTGGTTCTACTTTTCTCTGAGACATTTTCAGCACCCTGGTTTGATATTTTCTGTATGGTCCCTTTTTACTTTCAGAATCTTCTAGGAGAAATGGGGATGAGAAATAGTTTTGTTCTTGACCCTAGTTTTCTCTAAATGCTACTTGATCATAAAATAATCCCTTAATCCCCTCCACCTTTCTTTTTTTTTTTTCCAGCTCATCTCTCTCTAATTATTATCTTCTGATACATAGTTAAAAGAAACCACTTGTCACTTTTTTGGTTTGGGGGACAGAATCTCACTCTGTCACCCTGAATGGAGTGCCGTGGCTTCGTAGCTCACAGTGATTCTCTTGCCTCAGCCTCCTGACTAGCTGGGACTACTCATCATGACGCCATCATGATGACTGGCTAGTTTCTATATATATTTTTTTAAAGTAGAAATGTGGTCTCAACTCCTAAGCTCAAGCAATCCACTGTCTCAGCCACCCAGAGTGCCAGGGTTACAGGCGTAAGCCTCAGCAGCCAGCCCACTCGTCACTTTGGACATTCGGCCTAGAACTCTCCTCAGCCAGATTCACCAGTTCACTAAGTAAGTTTCAATATTTCATATTACCAGAGATGAGAATTGTATTACATTTTCTGCTGTCTTTTTACAAAGATCTCCTTTTCTCCTGTTTCCAGTAAGATTTCCCTTGTGGTCCTGTAAGCTATCACTGACAACTCAGAAGACTGTCAGTCTTTTCCTAAAAATCTCGGAGTCCTCTCAGCTTCGTTTGTCTTTCAGTCTCAAAGCCTCAGACATATGTGCAGAGTATCCCATTTCTAGTGCCAGAGTCTGGTTGTCACTATTGCTGTGTAACAAAGGACTGCACCCCTGAACTTAGCAACTTAAACCAGCAACCATTTAACTCTACACATGGCTTTTTTTTTAATTTTCCAGTATTTTATTAGGCATTTTTAAAACATACAATACAATTGAAAGAATTATATAGTGAATGGCCACACACCCACCACATACATTTCATAATTTTCTTTCTTCTTCTTCACGTGTAGGGAATTTGTATGTAGGGAGGCCGCAGGTTTTGTGCCTCCTATCACAATGACTCCGGATTCCTATTGGGTGTGTTACAAAGAGAGGGGCCATTTTTCAGGCCCCTGCTCTAAGCATACCCTTTCTACTCATGATTTTGTAGAATAAGAAATTGGGTGTTCACATGGATGGAGCTGGAAAGTGTTCTTCTTAGCAAAGTGTCACAGGAATGGAAGAAAAAGTATCCAGTGTACACAGCCCTATTATGAAATTAATTCATAGCTTTCATATGAAATCTATAACCCAATAACAGCCTAACTATATGGGGAGGGGGGAGGGAGAAGGGAGGGAGGAATGGGTGGAGGGAGGGTGATTGGAGGGATCACTTCTGTGGTTTATCTTACAAGGGTACAAGTGAATCTTTCTAAGAGTAGAATATGATTGCCTTAACACAATAACTAAGAAAATGACATGAAGGCTATGTTAACCAGTTTGATGAAAATATTTCAAATTGTATATGAAAACACCACACTGTACCCCAGAATTGTATTAATGTACATAGTTATCATTTAATAAAAAAAAATACTAAAAAGAAATTGGGGAGAGTTTGGGTGGGCAGTTCTAGCTAAACGTTTCTCCTGTGGTTGTGGTCAGATGCCACTTGAGACTGTGATCATCTGAAGGCTCAAGGTATATGTCCAAGGTAGCTGGATGCCCAAGGTAGCTCACTCACTGGCTGGTGGTTGATACCTGCTGGAAGCTCACCTTGCCTGTTACCTGGAGAACCTGCATCCAACTCTCCAGCACAGAAGACTCAGGATAGTCAGACTTTTCACATGATCTCTGGTTTATCCTCTAGCAAGCAGCTTATGGAGACCAGCCTCTGTTTACACGACATTCTCTGATCCAACCTCAGAAGCCACAAAACGTCTTTTCTGCTGCCCATTGATCAGAATAGTCATAAATCCAGCTTAGATCCCAGGGGAAGGGACCCAGTACCATCTCTCATGGGAAAAATGTAAAAAATGGGATGGGGCCTATTTTTTTAAACGTCATAACATTCTACTAAGATTATTTGTTCAAAAGTGAGCAGTGACTTTCCAATCAATTCATCCAGCAATCTCTTCCTAGTCCTCACGACGCTGCTGAACTTTTCTGAGGCTCTTGCAACCTCCTTGAAACTTCCTCCTTTCTCTCCGGGCATTTCCCTGACTTTATCTTCTAATCATCCCCATAACTCCTCTGCATTCCACCTCCTTCCCATTAGACCAGCTTGCCTCTCTCTCTTGGCCCTGAGAGGCAGCATCTTCCCAGGCTCTGTCCTCAGTTAGGGTCTCTTCTGAATCTCCCAGGTTGTTCCCCTTAGTAGTGGAAGCACACTTACTGCTCAGGAGCCCTTTCTGTGGGGAATGACTTTCTTTCACTAATAATCCTTTCAATGCCTGTGTTAGGAGCAGACAGGGACGAGTGCCCTCCACCCTAGAGCTGGACACCTGTATCAGGTCGTGTCTTGGGTAGAAACAGAATCCATTTGCATGGAGTAATTGAGGAGCTTTTAGTTTAGTTTTTTTTTTTTTTTTTTCGAGACAGAGTCCTACCATGTCGCCCTGAGTAGAGTGCTGTGGAGTCACATCTCACAGCCACCTCCAACTCCTGGGCCTAAGTGATTCTCTTGCCTCAGCTTCCCAATTAGCTGGGACTATAGACGCCTGCCACAACACCTGGCTATTTTTTGTTGCAGTTGTTTAGCTGGCCTGGGCTGGGTTCAAACCCACCATTCCCTGTGTATGTGGCTGGTGCCATAACCACTGTCCTACAGGTGCTGAGCTGAAGAGCTTTTAATAAAAGAATTCTTTGCAGTGGTGCCGGCAGCAACCAGCAGCAGGAAGCTATTCCCTTCCCTTACTCTGAAGGAGAAAGAGGAAGGAACAGTTAGTTGCCAGAATCCTAGGTGAGCACCAGTTCTGCAGAGGGAGTTGCTCAGCTGCAGGGGGTCTGGTCATTAAAAATTTGCAACCCAGGTCTGGGAGGGAGCAGGGAGAGACACCTACGTTACCCCCTTTTGCCCTATGAATATCCACAGGCAAAATCCAGCAAGAAGCAAGCTGGCAAGGGAGTCAGGTGGCGCGGTCATTTGAGTCAACATCCAAGAGAAGGCAAAGGATGGAGAATTGATCTGGGGACTTGTTTTAACTTCAAAAATTTTTAGTAAATACCTAATATATCCACACAGCCTAAATTTGAAAGGACAGAGAGTGAAAAACGTTGTCTCTCCACCCCTGTTCCCTAACCGTGTAGACCCCCAGCCAGGAGACAAACAACATGGTCACTATTGTACAAGTCTTTGAGAGATACTCTGAACCTCCGTATGGGTATTCTTTCCCTCCTTTCCCATGAACAATAGTATGTAAATGGCAATATTCTGCACTTTGCTCTTTTCACTTTGTGACACATTTTGGATCATTCCACACTAGTGCTTTCCTTCATGACTGTGGTGTTCTATGGCATGGATGCACTTTAACTTACCAACTAATCCCGTGATGACAAGTTTTGCCCCAGTGGGCCGAATTGCACTGAGTCTGACTCAGGGTCATGGAATTACCCAGGGTCCCTCAGCTGGGGCAGAATCCAGGGGCCTGGTCCAAGGCCATGAAAAGCCCTGAGAGGGCACAGAGGGGTCAGCAGTTGGGTGGGGTGCAAAGAGCCAGGTCCTGACCTGGAGTGAGAAATATTCCCATCCTGGGCAGGGCCTAGGCCCTTCCAGGCAAAAATCACTTTGCAAAGAGATTTCCTTTGAATGTCAGACTGTCTTCTGATGAAGTGGAGGCCTGTGGGTCTCATACAATGCTGATGACTGACTAATGTGCTGCAGTTTGAATTTGCAGTTTCCATCTTCAAAACCAGTGGAAGTGCGTGACTGGGTTTGGGCCATGGGCTTCTTAAGGACTCAATCCTTACAGGTCTGGTCACACCTACTGGGTTTAAGCTGCCAGAGTCCTGCTTTTCTGATTTTGCCTAATCCTAGTCAGGCTGCACCAGCAGAAACTTCAGCCAGCTGAGAGAGCACCAGTGGCCTTGCCAGAGGACAGCCTGAGGAGGCGGGTATGCAGAGGTTTGGTCCCTTCTCTGGCCTGGTCCTCCCCCATGGCCAGCAGTGGTGGGACTCTGGTAACCAAGCAGTAATCCCACTCACTCCCCCTTTGCCTTGAGTTTCAGGTCTTCTCTCTCCCACTGGGTCTGAGGAAGAACAAGAAGGTGCCCTAAGCCTGCCAGTCCCTACTCGTCTGAGCGCAGCAGAGCAGCCCCCTGTTTATCGGTTTCCTACGACACACTGAAGCCTGGGGGCAGCGTCTCTGTCTCTCACCGTCAAATGAGTGGCTGACTCCATCTGTGGCCTGACCCCTCAGAGCTGGCTATAGGAGCGAGGCTCCTGGGGGCTTTGCCACTGAGGAAGCTTCCAGCAGTGTCGTTGGGCTTCCCAGGCAACTGTCATAAGCGAAACACAGGCTGGGCACTGAGAAGTGGCAGGTATGTGACAGGACATGGCTCAGTGGGAGAGTGAACCACCGCCTCAGCAGCGCCAGTGTGTGCCCTGCAGAGGGGACGTCTTGGAATGGGCAAGGGAGCAGGGGGAAGGCCAGGTCATGGGCCTGTGCCACAGGGCTGGCTGTGGTCTCAGCAGCCAACAGCCTGTGGGCTCAGGCATTAGGAGAGCCAGACTGGGCACAGGTCCATGCCTTCCGAGGTTCTTGCTAGAGATGGGAGATGTGCACAGTCAGGGTTCTTGCTAGAGATGGAAGGGAGATGTGCAAGGTTAGGGTTGCTCTTAGATTTGGTCCTCTGGTAACAGTGGTAGGAGACACAGAAGGAGGGACAGAGAGGGCCAGGGAGACTGCTGAGAGATGAGGCCACAGTAACAGTTCAGACAAGAGCTGACAAGGCCTGAATTAGGGGAAGAGCAAAGAGGAGGAGTCCGATTGGCAGGACCTGGTTTTCCACTGGATAAAGAGGGCAAGGCACCTTCAGTGTCCTATCGGCTATGACAAGGGGCCATCCCCCAGGGGCCACCAGCAGTGCATCACTACAGCCGGCTCTTCAGGGCTTGGATGGGGGGGACTGCAGGAGCTGATGGCAGCGCTCTCCTCTCTACAGCGCTACTTTCTCCACAGTGGAGACAAGTTCATTGGCCTTTGGACCAAGGTTTGTACCTTGGCCTCCCTGTTCACTCAAATGGTGGCCTAGCGCTGGTGAGGAGCTTGTTGGAGACACTGCATCATCATCATCATCGTTCCCAGAGGTGGGGGGTAGGGAGCGGAGTATTTTCCATTAGGATATTTCCAGTGTTTTCAGTCAGTTTTTCTCCTGTATGGATGTTGGGTTTTAAGAGAGGGTATGAATTACTTTCACGGCAAATAGTTTTTATTTTGGTGGTAATTCAAAATGATTCAATACCACCTCCCTCTGTTCCATTAATAAGGGTGATCTTGGAATGAATGACTTACAGCTCCTCCCCTTAAAGCAGCTGTCATTCAGGAGAGCAGCAGGAACACAAGGACACAGGGGAGCAGGTAGAAGGGAGGGGTATCAGGGGACTCAACGCTCCAATCCAGAACACATGTCGATAGTTATGGGGCCTCTTACAAATGAAAGACACTGATCTTGTGGCGTGTCTGAAGGTGGGGCAGGCTTATTCCATAGTCAGGGCTGACTTGGGAAATCCTGGGCAGGTGGAGACTGTACTGTATCCCTGAAAGCCCCATTCCTGGCTTTCCACTTGGTGGAGGTGGACAACCTCTCTGATGGGTGTGATGTGTTGTGAGCCTGAAGTTGGGAACTGGACTGGGATAGAGGTTGATGTAGCAGCTCTGAGGTGAGGCTGCCTGTGTTTCAATCCTGTGTGATCTTGTGTAAGTTACTTAACCTCTCTGTGCCTCAGTTTACTCTTCCATTAAAAAAGGGATGGGTGTTTATGAAGAAGAAATGAGATAACACAGAGGGAATGCTCAAACTTGCTGTCTCTCATCAGTATTACGATAGTTACTGCTTTCTCTGGCAATTGCCCACCTACAGCAGTGCTTTCCAACCTTTTGGGAATAGGGAATAATTTTAGGGAAGACAATTTTTCCATAGACTGGGGGAGGTG